GTTAGTTTGATGAAAAACGGCGTGTCCCTTTAGGTCTGGGCGGCTAGGATTTATATGGAAAACCCTCGGTGGCGAAAATAGGTTTAATGAAAATTTTCAAAAGTGGATCTTCTGCAGAGCATGTCAGCCGATCGGGAGCGGGTGCTCCTTATCTTCAGAATCTTCAAGAAAAGATCCTATTTCCCTCCTTTTTCGCCAAGCCTCCTTGCAAGTTCCAATCCTCTATTCCAGACACTTTTAGACCTAGAAAGACTCAATATAGAATGAAAGACTCGATAAAAACCTACAAAACAAGGGTTAGAATGCGCCAAAAACGCATTATATCAATCGGTTCGATCGGCTAATGTTAAGTTGATATTGTTTAAGATAAGTTTGGTGCATCCTACCACTGTACTACAGTTTAGGTTTACGCCGATTTTGTCTTGCATTGCACCTCTTATTCCTATAAATGATACATTGCTGATCTCTACTACACTAGACTTCTATATATGTATAAGAAGAAGAAGAAAATGATATTAGAATATGAAGTTTTTGAATGTAATTAAGCTTAAATAAATTATTAGGGTTTTGTTGAGAGTAAAGTACATTATAACTTCTTGGGCAACTATGATGTGGGCAATAGTGTTGATCGATGATGATTGGGTTGTAAGTTGCTTTGAGAGTAACGTTAGTATATGAGACATATCTCGCATATCCACCAGCTCCCTAATTAAATTTTAAGAAAATCAATTAACATAAACGAGTTTGAAAAATAAAATTCTTTTCGTTTTACAAATAATTTTGTTTCATTTCACTAAAATGCCGATATGTAGTACATACCGCTAACCAAATTCAAACATTATAAACTCTGGGAAAACGTAAATTAGAAATTTGGTTTAGAAAACCGTAATTAAAAAGACATTTTTAAAAAACCAAAAAGATAAAATTAAGTATAATCCTTACCGTTCTTACCGTTTTCGCAAAGTAATCCACACTAATATTAGTACAACAAAGGATAAAAGAATAATAAACAAGAAATAGAAGACTAGTTTTAAGTTTAACATTTTACCTAAAATTATCAAGTTTCACCGCAAATATTGGTTTAGCAAAAAAAAATAATCCTTACCTCCCAAGTTTTGATTCTTAAACCATTAGTAGTGGAGCTTAAAATCGAATCTTTAACATGTATTTCTTCAACAGTTGCGTTTTTATCTCCGTTAATCCCTAAGCTCCCTATGCTGTAAAAATAAACAATGTTATACATGCAATAAACATTCTATCGCACATCATGAATTCATGATCATAAGGTAGTTTCTTAATTCATATTATGATCAAACCTAATTCCATGTCCTGGACCGCAATTGACCATTGTCATATAGATATGCGAAGAACCACTCCCTATTCCGATGCAATCATCACATGAAAATAAACTTGTTAATTAACACTAATTAATTTTTAAGT